ATAAATACTTTTAAATTTGTCTTTTCCCGAATAGACTCTGTATTATACAAGCAGTACTTCTAAAATTTGCATACTTACGCAATTCACCAGTCTTAGTACCTATCTAATAAGATAAATGCTTCTTGCTTTATAGACATATTTTTTTTTGTATGTACCAATCTAACCATGGCAAGTCTTGAAGATAACAGAAATATTTGTACGCATAACTTTTTCTTGTAACTGTCTTATCTTTGCTTTCGTAACATTTATTTACTCCTTCTGAAAACCATTTCATTATTAATTACACTTCCTCGGGTACCAGTTGGCATAGACCTGAATCTAGGTGTAACGCCTCTAATATAACTGTAGCCGAAAATTTAGTGATGATAAGGAGGCGTTTTAATAAATGGCTATTAGTTTATTATAATAATAGTATTAATGTAGAGTACTGTATTACACTGTGGGAGATTATTCAAATAAGAAACCAGGTACCTACTATTTGAGAACCCACGCTACATATACTTGCCGGTGTTATACCACTCTCTAGCTATAAATTGGTCAATTAAAATTACTTTAAAGGATTCTACATTTGTATGAATAGCCGCTTATTTGAAATAACATGACAGTTATCCTTATGCATAAGAATGCTTCTTCTTTAGTTAGTAGACTGATATAGGATTAATAATTAATTTGAGGAGAAGCAAGACATACTTTTTTTGTAAGAGAAAGTTTTTAAATCTAAGAATCAACGAATACTTGTGCCAAATATTAATAACATTATAATATTGGTAAGTTATGAGTGCGAACTAGTTATGATCAACCCTCTTTTGATGCTTGATTTTATTCCTCTCCATGCTATGGACATTTTTGAAGCTGTACATAAGGTAATATCAGACTATGGAGAATTATGTAATGGTTCCAGTTTGACACTGGTAGAGAGCTATTATAGGAACAAATTGAATTTGCAGAACTCTTAAAGCAAAATAATATGAACTATCCTGTAATAAATAATTGTAATGTTTATGTTATGAAAGTAGTTGCTAAATTAAGAGGGGACAATCGTATTTAAATTTTTTGGTTGAAGAAGATGCTACATATGGAAATTTGTAGAAATTGTAGATCCAAAATTTCCATTAGACCTTGTATTTTTAACAGATCTTAACTGATTGAATTTAAAGTTGTAAGGAAAACAGCAGACTATTGCCAATTTATATGGTCACATAAAGAATATGGTTTTTATATATTGAGAATTTATTTATTTAATCTCGTTTTTTGTGTCTCTCCCCTAAATTAAAATTACAATTAATTTTAAATCGATGTTAGAAAAACCCTATACTATAAAAAATGATGTTTTCTATTTGATAGGTCTAGTTTTAATTTTCTATCCCTATTAGTTTTTACTTAATAAGTATTTTTCCAAATTTCATCTCGTTTTTTGTGTCTCTCCCCTAAATTAAAATTACAATTAATTTTGAATCGATGTTAGAAATATCCTATACCATATAAAATGATATTGTCTTTATGTTAGTTCTAGTTTTAATTTTCTATTTCTATTGGTTTTTATATAATGGGCATTTTTCCAAATTTTATCTCGTTTTTTGTGCCTCTCTCTTAAATTAAAATTACAAATAATTTTAAAACGATATAAAAAATACCCTATACTATATAAAATAATGTTTTCTTTTTTATAGGTGTAATTTTAATTTTCTATCCCTATTGGTTTTTACATAATGGGTATTTTTCCAAATTTTATCTCATTTTTTGTGCCTCTCCCTTAAATTAAAATTACAATTAATTTTAAAACGATGTTAAAAATACCCTATACTGTAGAAAATTATGTTTTCTTTTCGATAGGTCTAGTTTTAATTTTTTATCCCAATTGGTTTTTACATATTGCGTATTTTTCAAAATTTTATCTCGTTTTTTGTGACTCTCCCTTAAATTAAAATTACAATTAATTTTAAATCGATGTAAGAGATACCCTATACTATAAAAAATAATATTTTCTAATCTAAATCTAATCTAAATTTTCTATCCCTATTGGTTTTTACATAATAGGTATTTTTCCAAATTTTATCTCGTTTTTTGTCTCTCCCTTAAATTAAAATTACAAATAATTTTAAAACGATATAAAAAATACCCTATACTATATAAAATAATGTTTTCTTTTTGATAGGTCTATTTTTAATTTTCTATCCCTATTGGTTTTTACATAATGAATATTTTCCCAAATTTTATCTCGTTTTTTGTGTCAAAATTTGGAAAAATACCCATTATGTAAAAACTAGTAGGGATAGAAAATTAAAACTAGGCCTATCAAAAAGAAAGCATCATTTTATAAAGAATAAGGTATTTCTAACATCGATTTAAAGTTAATTGTAATTTTAATTTAAGGGAGAGACACAAATAAAATTTCGTTTTTTGTGTCTCTCCCTTAAATTAAAATTACAATTAATTTTAAATAGATGTAAGAGATACCCTATACAATAAAAAATAATATTTTCTTTTTGATAGGCCTAGTTTAAATTTTCTATCCCCATTGGTTTTTACATAATAGGTATTTTTCCAAATTTTATCTCGTTTTTTATGTCTCTCCCTTAAATTAAAATTACAAATAATTTTAAAACGATATAAAAAATACGCTATACTATATAAAATAATGTTTTCTTTTTGATAGGTCTAATTTTAATTTTCTATCCCTATTGGTTTTTACATAATGGGTATTTTTCCAAATTTTATCTCATTTTTTGTGCCTCTCCCTTAAATTAAAATTACAATTAATTTTAAAACGATGTTAAAAATACCCTATACTGTAGAAAATTATGTTTTCTTTTCGATAGGTCTAATTTTAATTTTCTATCCCAATTGGTTTTTACATAATGCGTATTTTTCAAAATTTTATCTCGTTTTTTGTGCCTCTCCCTTAAATTAAAATTACAATTAATTTTAAATCGATGTAAGAGATACCCTATACTATAAAAAATAATATTTTCTTTTTGATAGGCCTAGTTTAAATTTTCTATCCCTATTGGTTTTTACATAATAGGTATTTTTCCAAATTTTATCTTGTTTTTGTGTCTCTCCCTTAAATTAAAATTACAAATAATTTTAAAACGATATAAAAAAATACCCTATACTATATAAAATAATGTTTTCTTTTTGATAGGTCTATTTTTAATTTTCTATCCCTATTGGTTTTTACATAATGAATATTTTTCCAAATTTTATCTCGTTTTTTGTGTCAAAATTTGGAAAAATACCCATTATGTAAAAACTAGTAGGGATAGAAAATTAAAACTAGGCCTATCAAAAAGAAAGCATCATTTTATAAAGAATAAGGTATTTCTAACATCGATTTAAAATTAATTGTAATTTTAATTTAAGGGAGAGACACAAATAAAATTTCGTTTTTTGTGTCTCTCCCTTAAATTAAAATTAGAATTAATTTTAAAACGATATAAAAAATACCCTATTCTATATAAAATTATGTTTTGTTTTTGATGGGTCTAATTTTAATATTCTATCCCTATTAGTTTTTACATAATGGGTATTTTTCCAAATTTTATCTCGTTTTTTGTGTCTCTCCCTTAAATTAAAATTACATTTAATTTTAAAACGATGTTAAAAATAACCTATACTGTAGAAAATTATGTTTTCTTTTTGATAGGTCTAGTTTTAATTTTCTATCACAATTGGTTTTTACATTATGCGTATTTTTCAAAATTTTATCTCGTTTTTTGTGCCTCTCCCTTAAATTAAAATTACAATTAATTTTAAATCGATGTAAGAGATACCCTATACTATAAAAAATAATATTTTCTTTTTGATAGGCCTAGTTTAAATTTTCTATCCCTATTGGTTTTTACATAATAGGTATTTTTCCAAATTTTATCTTGTTTTTTGTGTCTCTCCCTTAAATTAAAATTACAAATAATTTTAAAACGATATAAAAAATACCCTATACTATATAAAATAATGTTTTCTTTTTGATAGGTCTATTTTTAATTTTCTATCCCTATTGGTTTTTACATAATGAATATTTTTCCAAATTTTATCTCGTTTTTCGTGTCAAAATTTGGAAAAATACCCATTATGTAAAAACTAGTAGAGATAGAAAATTAAAACTAGGCCTATCAAAAAGAAAGCATCATTTTATAAAGAATAAGGTATTTCTAACATCGATTTAAAATTAATTGTAATTTTAATTTAAGGGAGAGACACAAATAAAATTTCGTTTTTTGTGTCTCTCCCTTAAATTAAAACTACAATTAATATTAAATCGATGTTAGAGATACCCTATACTATAAAAAATAATATTTTCTTTTTGATAAGCCTAGTTTAAATTTTCTATCCCTACTAGTTTTTACATAATGGGTATTTTTCCAAATTTTATCTCGTTTTTTGTGTCTCTCCCTTAAATTGAAATTAGAATTAATTTTAAAACGATATAAAAAATGCCCTTTTCTATATAAAATTATGTTTTGTTTTTGATGGGTCTAATTTTAATATTCTATCCCTATTAGTTTTTACATAATGGGTATTTTTCCAAATTTTATCTCGTTTTTTGTGTCTCTCCCTTAAATTAAAATTACATTTAATTTTAAAACGATGTTAGAAATACCCTATACTATAGAAAATGATGTTTTCTATTTGATAGGTCTAGTTTTAACTTTCTATCCCTATTGGTTTTTACATAAAAGGTATTTTTCTAAATTTCATCTCCTTGTTTTTTGTGTCTCTCCCCTAAATTAAAATTATAATTAATTTTAAATCGATGTTAGAAATACTCTATGTAAGAATAGCAGTATTTTGCATTTTTTCCAGGCTGTAACGGACACTTTGAAGGAATGAAGGATTTTAAAAAAATTTCATATTTTTTAAAAGATGTAAAAAGTTAGGTAAGTGGAAGAAGTTTTGGAAATGGTTGACTCAACCTAAATATTCATTTATTATCATTACTAATATATTTAATATGCCAAAAATTACAGTTACATAAAAATGTCACTATTGTGTTTTTGCAGAACTGGACATCCAAGTATCCCATCACAATTAGAGATAAATCTTTGACACACTTGAAAGTCATGTCTACTAAACGGAATAAATGAAGACACATGTTGTAGACAAGATACACCTGAAGTCTCTTCTGACTGCGATTATTTATTTTCTAAAAATATAAAATTCCCGTGCCATCGGGACAATCTACACCAAATGTTTGTTTTGTGGAAGACGGGACGAGAGGACCGGCATAAAATTCTTAAGAAGTCTTCGGCGACGTGCAGTCTAGGAAAGGAATGTTACGTTGTCGGCTACGGCTGGTCGCGGTCGGTCTCTGGTTACCGATGATGCCATTGCCCATGCCATTTGCCGATGCCAGCCTGAAAAAACAAAACTGGTTGTGCTTGCGAAACGTGAAATCCTCATTTACGGTATAGTCTCTGCATTTATTGTCTTTTTACTTATTTTCAGACCAGTTGCACCAGCAGTTATAGGCGATTGCTTAAATAAACGTTTAGGTACTGAATTCTGAATTTGTTCTGTTTTATACGACGGTTAATCCCATAGATATAGAAAGAATACAGGAGAAACTGTAACTATTTACAACACTGTCCAATTTCAAGTGTTAAGAACGTCACCGAATGAAAAAGCGAGATGCAGAAAATATTTTATTTAGTTTACATTAGTTTTTCGAAAATCTAATATTTTATTGTTATTTAGTGGTGTTTATATTTTTATTTTTTATTGTAGTTTTATTTTTGTAAGACAAGCAAGAAACGGTAAGAAAAAATTATGTAATGCTTTTATTTGAATTATAGAGAGAAATATTATTGTATGAATGGTTTATTTTAAACATTTTGGGTTAGGGTACGGCCTCCGAGTCGAACTGGGATCACATTTTGTTTATACCCTAAAATAATTTAAAATTTTAGCATGTCTGGAAAGAGCCGAGGTTTTGCTGTTTGTAAACACATTTTTTACAAACAAAAATTATCAAAGGAAATGGACTGAACTTAAATTAAAGATTAATGGTAAAATTCTCGCCTTTAATTTCAGTTTAAGTTTGGGTCCTTTCTTCTGATGATTTTTGTTTGTAAAAATTGTATTTTCAAAAATCCAAAATTGGAAACTCGCGTTTAGACAGAAATTTTTGTATATTTTCAAAATATTTAATAGCAACTTTTAACAGTGTCAAAATAAACTGTTTTTCCAGTTGACTGCACGTAGGAATCTTTGTTTGTTTCTTTAAATTAAGTAAATTAGTAATAGTACTAAGAAATAAAGCAGAATGTACTAAAAATAAATCAAAACGATTTGTCTTCACTGTAAGATTTTATCTTGCAATCCTTTCGAACAGTTTTAATTGAAACGCATTTGAAAAAAATACGTAAGGGGAAATTAGAAAAATTGGTTTTCTTTTCGGTCAATATCTGGTTTTTGTAGAGAATACCTACTGGTATTATTTATTTTTTCTCGAAATACTTCGGAATTTACAGGAGTTCACTAACCTAGTGTATGTGTTTTTTTATATATATTAATTAACGGAGGTTAGCAATAACATTTGCCAACTGTTGTCTATCATCAGAAGCTCTGACAAATATTTTCCCTGTTTTTCCCCTACAACTGGCGATTAGAGAAAAATGAAATAATTTCATCCGGCTTACAGATAAATTGACAAAGCCGTCATCGGCTACGATTGCCGATACATCTAGTGGATAAGTAATCCTATCAGAAGGGCAGTAGTAGTTAGAGGGGTATTTTGTAATGGGAGAAGAAGGTAATTAACTCGTATGTCGGTTTCTGTTACACCACCAAACCATCGTGCTCTCAAATCGAACAAGTTGGCTGTGCAGCGCAAACTTAGCTAATTGTGTTTGGGAAGTTGTTCAGTATATAATGGCTTATTGTTATAATATGATTATTAGGGAATATTATATATTATGAACGATTAAGTTAATGGTGTTTCGCGAAGAGTGGTATAATCTGTCTTCCGAAATTTTCAGTTTTTATAGATTTGTAGAATCCCACACAGTATATTTTAGTATTTAAAAAAATGTAAATCAGCAGAGTACGGTTAGTATGTTTCATATAAACTTACAATCCATCTCTAATAAGGTAGAAACGATTAACAGTTTTCTTGTGGATCACAATTTTGACGTTGTCTGTTTTTCTGAACATTGGCAGAGTGAAACATGTCTTAAATACATTGATATTGACGGTTACAATTTGGCAAACTCTTTTTGTAGAACAAATATGATACATGGGGGTGTAGCAATTTACATAAAAAATAATAAAGATTTTTTGAAATATTTTCCAATTGACTTAAGCGAATATTTTAGTGAACAAAATGCAGAATTCTCTGCTGCAGATCTGCCATCTTTAAAAACTACAATTTTAACTGTCTATAGGTCTGGCAAAGGAACTACTGATATTTTGAACTTGTATTACACAAATTACTAGAAAAGTATGACAAATTAATAATATTAGGCGATTTTAATATTAATTTTAAATCACAATCTGAAATTCTTTTCAATTTTGAATGTTTGTTGAAGTCTTTTGGTTTATCTCTTACAATACATGATGATACTAGAGTTACAGCTTCATCTTCAAATTGTATAGACAACATAATTACAAATTTGGCAAACGAATTGTTTACTTCCGGTGTATTTGAACCCTCCTTTTCAGACCACCGTGCTCAATATATTTCTTAAAAGGTGTATTACAGATAATAGAATAAAGATGTTTAAACAGTCTCTAAGTAGTATAGATTGGAGTATTTTTTGTAATAAAGGTAATGATGTAATTTTTTTGTCAACTTTTTTTATCAATACTTACCATAACTTAAGTATGAAATATTTTCCCTTGAGACAATGTAAGAATAATTTAAGAAATTCACCAGTAATATGGATTAACAACAGTCTAAAATCTCTAAGAAACGATCTCTAAACCATCAAACTAATAACAGACGTTACAAAAGATCCAAATGACATAAAAACATACAAGAAACTCAAAAACGAGTACAATGAAAAATTGAAATCAACAAAAAACTGACCTATGATGAATGTATTAGTCGAGCAGACAATAAAGCCAAGGCATGTTGGCAAATATTCAATTTCGAAAGAAACCTAGTAACTCCTGATTTAACACCAAATGAAATAAATACATTTTTTAATACAAGTGCTGTAAATATCATAAGATCTCTTCCTAATGTTTTGACTGCCGAACTTCTGAGTTTTAAACATTTTCCTTCCGCCCCGTTCTTGAATCTGAAGTTTTTGACGCAATTACTTCTCAAAAAAATTCTAAATGTGTTGACACTCACGAACTCAATAATAAAATTTTAAAAGAGACTTGCAATATTATAATAAAACCGTTTACTGAACTGAATAATTTAATTTTATCCACTGGTTTATTTCCTGAAGTACTTAAATACTCTAAAGTATTACCAATTTTCAAAAAAGGTGATGTCTCGAAAATTGATAACTATCGTCCCATAAGTATTGTTTCAATATTTGGTAAAGTTATTGAAAAAATTATTAAAAAACAATTATGTGAGTATTTTGAATTAAACAACTTCTTCAGCAACTACCAATATGGTTTTAGACGCTCTCGCTCTACTACACAGGCTGTTCTCAATGTTGTGAATGATGTTGAGGAACTTGAGCAGGGAAATCACACAGCAGTAATGTGCGATCTGTCAAAGGCTTTCGACTGCGTCTCTCATGATATTCTTCTGGGAAAGCTAAGCTTTTATGGAGTTAGGGGAATTCCGTTTGCACTAGTAAATTTATATATCAGTAACAGACAACAAGCTGTGATGAGTAATGGTGTTCTGTCTGACTTTCAGGCTGTAAGGCAAGGGGTTCCACAAGGTTCTGTCCTGGGCCCCCTTTTATTCATTGTTTATGTTAATGATCTAAGCCGTTTTATGCTACCTAATAAATCAGTTTTATTTGCTTAACAGACAAAAATAATATAAATTTAATTTCTTCGTTTAATGAAATTGCGGACAAAGCAAACACATGGTTCTCAACCAACAAATTAAAACTTAACAGTGAAAAAACTCAAAATACGCAAATATCTGCCAATAATCAAATTATCTCAAAATATGAAACAAAAAACGTAAAATTACTTGGTATTACATTGGATAACAAACTCAATTGGTCGGCCCACATTAATCAGTTAAGGAAAAAAACTTTCTAGTTCTTTGTTTATTCTTCGGCAGTTGAAAAAACTTACCAACTTAAATACCCTCAAGACTACGTATTTCTCATTCTTTCACTCGCATGTCAGCTATGGAGTACTACTTTGGAGAAACTCTTCTCAATCTATTCAAATCTTCCGGATCAAAAAAAAAAGCTATCAGAATTATGGTTAACATTGGATTCAGAGAACATTGTCAACAACATTTTATTAAATTTAAAATTATGCCACTACCTACTTTATATCTAGATCATAAACTTGTTGAAATTCATAGGAAACAGTTTTTGCTGAAACAGTCCGATATTCATAATAACAAAACGCGTAATTCACATTGTATTAGAAATACTCGTTTTAGGTTATGTTTATCTGAAATAAATTCCCTAAATTATGACTTATTTAACATATTACCGCAGAACTTTAAAAATTTAAGTAATAATGCTTTTAAAAAAAAACTCTGTCAATGATTATGTAGCTCATTTTCGGTCTGTATGAGACATCTCATTGTCACTCTGCCTCATCACAATTTTAACCTTGATAAGTACCTAATAATTATTGTTTTTATTTACATTGTTCAAATTCTGGGACTCTAATATTTATTGTTTTATTTATATTGTTCAAATCCTGTTACCACCTATGACTTGCTATAAACATAATGACTTATGTAAAATAGTTAATAAAAAATTATTATTATTATTAAATTATTATTATACTAAGGTATACCCCTGGATGCAGATATACATTTTATTTTTGCCTATGTGTATACATGGTGTAAGCTTAATTTACTATATTAAAAACTCTCTGTTTAATATCAAATTAGATGTGTTAACATGTCATCAATTTATATTAGATACACTCATATGATAATAAAAAAGAACAAAATTATTACTTATTGAAACAAATATGTCTTTGTTTGTTCTTACACACCTTTACATAAGAACCCTAATTCCTCCCATACGATATTTCTATCAAACTGCCATCATCATTTAATAGTTAGTGAATTGTAGGTACATTACTGTTAAGGTCAAGAGGAAGCTTTCAAATCGGTG